TCCTATGCCCTGGAAGACAGGTCTTTGAACATTTTGCCCATTTTCCTTTATGGTAATTTAGCCTCCAAACAGGAAGGCTTGATATTATTCGTGTGCCTTGATCTTCCCAATTCCAGGAAAACTCCTAGAAAAGATGAACTCATCCTACTTCCGACTTTTGCTGGCATCCAGAGTTGCTTTGCTGTGGTCATATGAAAGACTGAAGAAGAGTCAAGAGAAACTTAGTGAACAAAACACTGGGACCTTTGTTCTCCCTTTGTTGTCCCTCATTGTTCTCATAATAAGCTCTCACACACTGGCAGTTCATCAGCCAAAACTTGTTTATGTTTGAGAACTACTTTGCTGCCATCCACTACTCTTTCTTTAATGAAAATCATATGAGCAACACAGTGCTACCTCTATGCTATCTCCTAAAGGCTAAGAGGTTTGTTGGTAGCCTTCTGACTGCCAATGCCTGTCAGGAGTTAACAGCCAGAGGTTAAGAGCTAATACTCGCCAGTAAGTCAGTCTTGTTCAGACATTAGCACAAGGACCAGTTGGAATAGGTGACTTAAATGATGTCCTTTCCTAGCCATGGCATTACTTACTGTTCTGGTTTGAGTGCCTGCCCACATTTTTCCCAGGACACCTCTCAAAGGATTTTAGATGAGGATGCTTTTTTGTGCACCATCTGGCAGCTTCCTGGAAAGCAGCAGTGCAAGATGTCCCTGCTCACAAAGATTGATTCGATTCCCAGGGGAAGTTTTTCCAAGCTGGTCATTTACAGCAAGATTCTCACTGTGGGCCAAACTTGCTTTTAGGCTGTCTACACTGAACACTCCCTGACCACCAACATTTCAGAGATCATGAGCCTGATTCTCAGGTGTCAAGTGATAAAAAGATTAACCACCATGATAACATTGAAGTCCAATGCAAAAGAGCTTGGGTTAGAATGCCTGTCCTCATATAAAATGAACATCTAGCAGTGCGGTCTTCAATCATTGTATTTGGTACCTCACATTGCCCATGCCATGAGAAGTAGTAACTGAGATGACTAAGGCCCACATCTTACAGGAAAATACTCTGTTTTTGTTTGAAGCTTACTGGTATGGAAGAGGTGACAAGAAAAATAAAGACATCAGCTAACAATTCCAGTGAGACAGCCTAGCCAAAGTGAAGGCATCCATTTGAGGGACATAAGCACTCATCATTTCTTCAAGATTCGTTGGATACAGATGGTGTGGCGAGGAACTCATTCAGTTTGCAAAGACTGGTGAAGTGACAAAGGAGGAAAATGGAGGAGAGACTTGCGCAACAGGTACAGCTAGGGCAGTGGTCAGCTGGCAGCTGTGGGAACACCACAGGGGTAGGTACAAGTCTGTCATTCTGTAAACAAGGACAGGAACAGAATCTGAAAAGCACTGGGCTTAAGGAGATAATAGAATAAAAGAATGAAGTAGGGGGTAGTGAATAATAACATTCAGCTAGGAAAAAGACTAAAGCAATGACTTCTGAGTTACCAGGGTAAGTTTCAAAAAAAAAAAATTTCAAAGTAAGGATCAGTCAATTGTGTTAAATATCTCAGAAAAAAAAAAAAACAAGAAGTGAAGACGAGGACAGAGAAATGCTCCTGGGATTGGGAAGTTGGGAAAATGTTACTAAACTTGGCCGGAGCTGTGGACAGACGGAGCTTATGGGCAGACTGCTAAAGGCAGTGTTGCACAATGGGCATAGAGGTGCTTGAGGAGCTGTTTACTCAGCCACCCAACATAACCTTCACAGAGCTTTGTCAGTCACATTGGCTGAGGAGCTGAAATATTCATCCAGTGATCAGTCTCGATTTTCTACAGAAATATCACGCTATTTACAAGAGATAGTTTGGGTCAAGTTGCCCAAAATAGTCATGATCCAGTAAGTTTACACACCAGGAATCCTGGTGATGGGTAGGGTTTTCAGAACACTCTGGTGCCTGACCTTAACCCTTTGTTTCCCATAAACAAGGAGATATCTAGAGTGTATCAGGAAAAGTACTAAGGGACTGGGTTAAAGGCAGTTAGGAATGAAGTGGCTTATTGCCAGCTACCTAAAGATATAACAGTATTTAATCAAAGCCGAAACTGATGTCATAGATAATCTCCATTTTTCTTTGTTTTTTTCTTTGTGTTGTTGTTTTGTTTTGTTTCGCAATGCTGGAAATTGCACCCAGACCCTTTCCCGTTCTAGCAAGCACTGAAGCACCTCAATACTAAATCATATTCCCATACTCACACAAATTATTTCACTTCAAAGTTGCACTTCAGGTGCTGTGATAAAAACACTCCAACCAAAGAAATTTAGAGGGGGGAAGGATTTCTTGATCTTACTGTCCCAGGTCACAGACCATTGAGGGATGTCAGAGCAGATGCTCCGTCAGGAGCATAACCTCTGCTTTCTGCATCATGCTTAGCTAAGGTTCTTATGTAGTCAAAAATGACCAGCATAGAGAATGGGGCTGCCCACAGTGGAGTTGGCCCTCCTGCATCAGATAATAATCAAAGCAATACCCCACAGACCAATATGATCAAGGAAATTATTCAATTAAGACTCCTTTTTCAGAAGACTCTATGCTATACCAAGTTGGTACAGTCAACTAGGACAAAGGTTGTTAAGGGTTTTTTTTTATAATTTTTAAATGATAGAATCAGTTTGGTTTTGTTTTGGGTTTGTTTTTTTGGTTTGTCAGTGTGCCTTTCATTTAACATAGACACTGTGAATCTATTTTTGAATTCTTTCATAACTGATACAGTTTAGACAATAAAAACCTTAAGATGGACAAATGCCCCATACCCTGTAACTATATATTACATTGTATTGTGTATATCAAAAATAGCTGACAGGATAGATGGCTAGAAGTTGTAGTATAATGCTTATTAGAAAAACATGTGATATCCAGAGTCATAACATGAAACAATAAATAAGTAAATAACAACAAGTAATAATTGCTAACATTAACAATAGTATTTCAGGAGGTGGGGTGGGGGAGTGCTGGGACAGATTACTGGAAAGGAGGGGCATGTCAGTCTCAGGTAAAAACCTGACTTGAAGAAATCCCCTGAGAATCTACAAAGATGACCCCAGCTAAGATTCTTAGCAATAGCCGACACATAGCCTGAACTGGCCATCTCCTGTGACCAGACTTCAAGAGGAGGAAGTGGGAAACCAACCAAGCCACATAACCTTCAACCTACAGTCTGTTCTGCCTGTGGAATATGCTGGGGTAAGGGTGGCCTAGAGATTGAGGGAGTGGCCAACCAATGACTGGTCTAGTCTAAAACCTATACCAGGAGAGTAAGCCCTACCTCACACTGCCTACTGCACCAAGACCCACAGCTGTGTAACCCAGAGACCTAGGGTAGAACCAAACACGACTGGAGAAAAAGAAGTCAGTGTAATGATACCTAATGATATTCTGCTAAACTCATAGATGATTGCCTAGCCCAAATGCCATCAGAGAGACTTCATTCACCAACAGAGGAAACAGATGAAGACCCACAGCCATACATTAGGTGGAGTTCAGGAATCCTGCAGAAGAGGAAGATCTCAGGAGCCAGAGAACCAACTAACCTGGGTCCATAAGGGCCAACAGAGACAACCAATAATCAGGGAGCCATCAGGGGACTGACCTAGTAACTCTGCATATACGTTACAGCTGTGTAGCTTGGTCCTCTTGTGGGACTCCTAAGAGTGGGAGCAGAGACTGTCTCTGACTCTTTTACTGGCTTTTGGGACCCTACTCCTCATACCGGATTACCTTGCCCAGCCTTAATAGATGGGGAGGTGTTTAGTCTTACAGAAGCTTGATATGCCATGTTGTGTTGGCACTCACATGCTCTTTCCTGAACAGAAATGGAGGAGGAGTTGGCTTGGGAGTGGGAACAGAGGTGGGGGGGGGGCGCAGGACGGGACCACGAGGAAAGCAGGGAGGGAAACTGCACTGGGATATAAACTAAAAAATAAAATCTAGAAGAGAAAAACCAAACTAGAAAAACAACAAAGTATGACAAAGTTTGGGAAGCAGAACAAGGAATAATCAAGATGGCATGTTATTTAAAGCAGACTTTAGAAGTAAGTTATGTTGAAAAACCCTCATAAACGGAAATACTTTGTAAATATAATTGGCATTTTTTTTACTCATCTCCATGATCATATTTATCTCTAGATCAACCGAGATGAGGCTTTCAAGCCATTTTGCAGAAGAAAGCCAGCTCTTAACTAAATGCCAAGAGACCAGAATCCCTTGTCTCTTTCTATTGTTTCCTGATGGGACTCTGGAAATGTCATTTGCCTTTTTCCTGGTCTCAATGGCTTTCTCCATAAGACTATTTGGTTACTAATGTCTTCACCACTCACAGGGTCTGACCTTCCAATCCTAAAATTCTTAAGGTCTCCTGGATGAAGAACAAGCCCAACTTTACCAAAAATTAATTTGTGTGTTTGAAACTTTAAACAAAGAGAGCTGGAGAGATGAAGAATCACCTTCCGGGTTCTAGCAACAGCATCTTGAAGAGCAAATACAATAGTTATACACCTCTTGCTGCATGACACCCACTTGCCTGTCCCTTTCTCACTATTCATCAATGACAGTGTCAGTGCACACCAACTAATGCCATTTAAAAAGAAATAATTACATGTAATCTGAATACGGTAACGGTGAACTTATTTGGTTGATGTAACCCTGAATGGCCTTTCTAGCTCAATCAACAATTTCAGAATAACATGGAGATTTCCCCAATAGCACAAGAAAATACTTTCTCTCTTTTGTGATAAGATCCAATTACTCAAAATAACAAATATGAATGATGATTGGCTCAGTCCTTTAACTTTTAGAAAGCAGAAGAGATAAAAGAGATCATTTTCAGTGAGTGAATTAGTCTTATTCATATAACAAATTTTCATGTTACTAGTAATGTGTTATAGTGTACATTTCTTTTCAGTTCATATTCTCTTCATCTTTATTTGCTAGAGGAGAATTTTCTCTTTTTTTTAATATGGAATGCTTGACAAATTTTCGTGTCCTCCTTGAGGAGGGACCATGCTAATCTCTGTATTGTTTCAATTTTAGTATATGAGTTGTGGAAACAAGCACAAGGAGAATTTTCTTATTAAAGTCCCTCACTCTAAGCAAAGGAGACTGAGAAAGCTGAATAAATAAGGCAAAACAAAACAGTGTACCAAGTAAAACCCATCATGAAATCTCAGAAGCATGCACATTTCCCATGTGGAGCAGGCATTCCTATTGTAGTTGGTTTGTTTTTTGTTTCTGGTCATTTTTCTTTCAAGAGAGGAAGCTTGAGCCTTTTCTACTAAACTTAAAGAAATATTCATGTTATTTGCAGATGACAATAACAATAGTTAGTAATCTCCTCTTAACTACTTCTAAAGGTACAGTTAGAAATATATGCAAGGGGTTTGGAATACCCACCACACAAAACTAGAGTTACTCTTCATGGCCATAATTTTATTAATTATCACCTTTTCCTTGCCCCCCCCCAAAATCACTTCCCACGCCCCTTACATCTCTTAGTGCTGGGGACAGGAGGGGGGATTGAATGCTTAATATAAAAGAAGCTTGCCTTTTATATTCAGAATCTAAAAATGACAAGATGAAAACAATTAAGAATAAAAGTACCCACAAAACATGTTACTGTTATCCAAAGAAGAGAAGTGAATAGTCCCCCCAGAATTGCAATAAACAAAAGGAAATGTATCAAGCCATGCTGGACCAGGTAAAGGCCCTCAGACGTAGGACAAGAAGATCTGTGGGCAAATTCCACAGATTCGGAGCAGAGAGCAAATGTTCCTACTCATAATCAAAGGATTGAGAACAAAGCTCCATCTGCCACATTGCTCTCCATCCTGCACTTATTGCCAGCAAGTTAAGCAAGAACAGCACCTTAGACTCTTACTGTCTTTCCAACTTCCCTGGGAAGATGTTAATTTGAGTTTTAAACTCTTTCTCATGTCTATCCCTCTGGCTCCCAACCCCAGCCTGCCTGTTCCTACCAAGTGTCTGTTGGGACCTGATGATCATCCAAACTTTTTTGATACTTTTGCAAGCTGGCTGTTCACACGGATGCTGAACAAATGTTTTTGAAGTTAATGTTATTGGAGATGGATGGAGGGCAGGACACTGGTCGCATTAACAGCAGAGTAACCTGCAGGAGTCAGAAGCAACCCTCTACTTCTGATCACTGGGACCAATGTTTGTCTTTGTAAATTCACAGAATGAAGAGATTTGGGAGGAGCTGTAAAAGCTTGAATAATTGTTACATATAATAAAGAATATGGAAAACCATTATTTAGAGAAAAGATGAGTCAGCGTGGTACTAGGATCATGTAGACTGGAAAGGAAAGAGCTATGAAGACATTTAATGAAAAAGTGATACAGCGAGTGAAAACTCCAACTCAACATCTCTGATGTTGACCAAGGAAACAACGAAAAGAAATATATTAAAATTAGAATAGCAAGAAGAGAACTTTGTTAGACATAAGGGATAAAATCCTGGCCTTGGCATTGAAATTTTGAAGTACACTGCCAAAAAAGTTGCAAGATTTCCTGGAAGAATCAATAACAGTCTGCACTAATTGATGAAGGCACTTTTCTGTTGCAAGAAAAAAAAGGCTTAAATCAGATAAGTTTGTGAAGTCCCGGTTCTAACAGATATCTGTAAGACTTTAGATATATAAGAGGTGACCACATGAAAATTTCTAAGCCCGAAGCACTTTATTTGTAAATAATATTTATGTCACTGACATATTATTTGATTAAATTTAAATGTCAGCAGTTTGCACTAAATACATTTTACCATTGCTATTATGATGTGATTCTTAATCTGTTGTCTTCTCCTTTAGCTTTCCAAACTTTCTTAATTAACACAGTGTTCTTTGTGGCCCCAACTGGGCTGTGAACAGAGCCTGCTCTAAAGATGTTCATTTTAATTGCAGACTTTTAGCAATCGAGGAAGAGAGTTTCTGTGCCTTCTCTCCACATTCAAATAGGTTTTTTTCTAAAACTCTGTAAAACCAAGAAAGAAGAAGCATGTTCATGCCATTCCAAATGTGGTCATCGTGACTCTTTACAACACTGGTTTCTGAACACAGCAGCCTCCTCATTAACGATTTAGGTATGAGCAGTTACAGTTGCACATGTTGGCAGCTGTCAGGTCATGAGTCTAGGTCTTAAGAATCTTTTGGTTTATTTCAGTGAAGGACAGCAGATCTCCAAGGTCCCGTTGTCAAGCTTTTTTTCTTTAATATTAGCAACTTTTCTCACTCTAAAGGCCTCTTTGTTGATTCCAGAGTCATAGTAGATGTTCTCTACATCTGTCACCTCAAAAAAAATCAATAGTCACTTCCACAACTATCTTGGATGAGGCAACATAGATTATAATTCCTGGTTTGATTTGTCTAAGACATCCTATTGAGGTTTTTCTCAAGGCACAATCTACACCATAACAAGTTGATCTGCAGGTCTTAGTCATACCCTGTGCCTGTTCAGTGTCAATCAGAATGTAGACAGAGCTCCCTCTGGATTCACTAACGCTTGTCTGGTGTGTTGGCAATTGACAGCAAGGAAAGGCATTAAAGAGGCCATGTCCAAGTGAATTCCTTCATGTTCATCAACACTGCCATTCCTTTTCACAAACCACATGCTACTCCACTTTGGCAATATTATAAGAAATATCATAGCTTACACAAAGGTCCAGGTCATCAGAGTTATGTTGAAGACCTTGACAAATATCTGACAGTTTTAGGTTATAGAAGAACAGTTAACCCAGGCACAACTCCCAGACATTGCTATTCACTTTAGGTAGTCCTGTCTGGGCAGAGCAAATGGATAGTTGTTGAAGATAATCCTGTCTTTCTTTGTGGCTTAAGTCTGTGGCTAATTGGTGTACTAAGTACCTTCTTATCCAGAAATTAAATTTTCCTAACAACATGCTCATTAAAAAATCTCACTTACAAAAAGTAGCGCACGCCTTTAATCCCAGCACTTGGGAGGCAAAGGCAGGCAGATCTCTGTGAGTTCAAGACCAGCCTCGTCTACCAAGCGAGTTCCAGGACAGGCACCAACACAATATAGAGAAACCCTGTCTCGAAAAACAAAAACAAAAACAAAAAAAGAGAGAGAGAAGGGGAGGGCTGGAGGGATAGCTCAGCCATTAAAGGCTCACAACCAAAATGCAAAAAGAGAAGGGGAGAAGAGGAGGGGAGAGGAGAACAAGAGGAATCAGGAAAACTGAGACAGGGAGGAATAGAGTAGAACAACAAAAGATATGCCTCAATAGAGGGAGCCAGTATAGGTCTAAAGAGAAATCTGACATTAGGAAAATGTTCAGAGATCCACAAAGATGACCCCCAACTAAGAATTTAGGCAGTAGTGGAGAGGCCACCATTGATGTCCTTCCCCTATAATGATGACCACTTTAATTGCCATTCTAGAACCTTCATCCAGTAGCTGATGGAAGCAGAATCAGGCACCCACAGCTAAGCACTGAGCATACTCCTAGAATCCAGTTGTAGAGAGGGAGGAGGGGTGATCAAAAGAGTGAAGACAGTGCTGGAGAAACCTATAGAACCAGGTGACCTAACCTAGTGAGAGCACACGGACCCCAGCCGTAAAGTTGGGGAACCAGCATTGAACTTAACCAAACCCTCTGATTGTGGGTGCCAATTAGGAGGTCTAGGCAATCTATGGGACCTCTAACAGTGGAACCAATATTTATCCCTAGTGCTCAAATGGGCTTCAGGAGCCCATTCCCTATGGAGGGATACTATTGCAGGCCAGATACATGAAAGAGGGCCTAGACCCTCCCACAAATGATGTGACAGACTTTGATGATCCCCCATGGAAGGTCTCACCATCATTGGGGAACTGGTGGAGGGTGAATTGGGAGGTTGGTAGGGGCATGGGAGGATGGGAGGGAGAGAGGGGGATTGACATGTAAATTCCTCGAATTGTCCCTTTCCATCGGGTAAAACATAACATTTTCTCAGAGACTTGTACACCACACCCATTTCCAAATCCTCCTCCAAGTTCTAGTTCAACAGTCCCACCTAAGCAGAAATGTAGTCACATTAGCTTGGACAAATGGTACTTAAACATGCCGAACATCACTCCCTCTAAACTGGCTTTTAGTTGGGGGCCTTCATAATTGACATCAAATCCAACAATACCTAGAGATACATTGTCTCATGTTCATATAAAAATTAACCATATTCTCAATGATTAATGTAGAACCTGAATGGACATCAGGAAGTCAAACAGACCCAAGGAATGAAGGCCCAGGGACGACTGCCATATTGCCTATCTGCTTCATACCACCTGGACAAACATCACTTAGCTCCTCAGATATTTATTTTTATCAGAATGTCATTTACGTAGGAAAGTTCACTGTGTTGTGAAGTCCTTCTTGATCGTCTAGCAGTTTTTACTGTTCTTCCTAAGAACTGTAACTCATCATTTCAGTGTGACAAGAACTTCAAAACTTTCCAGCTCCATATTAAAAAATAAGTATCTGTTTCCTTTTTGGAAACTTGGGCTCTTTTAGGTCCTGAGATTATAGGAAAAAATTGAAATATGTGAGGCAATCAAGCTCAACCTCAAACAAGAGTTATATTTTAAATGCAAAACATAAATACATATATCTTTTCCTAATTATACAATTCATGACCCCTTTTCAGACCAATTTCCTTGATAACAATGAAACAATATGTCCTATGTTGACTAAATATTCATGAACAAAGCATAGAGAGGAATAGAAAGAACTTAAGAAAGAACCAAAAGCAAGGCTAGAAAAGAATGGAGAAATATAAGAAGTTAGAACATTATATTGGTGAGATGGAGAAGCACTGAATGACTCTAAGCAGAAAACTTATGTAATCTGATGTTCATTTAAAATACTCCAAAAATTGGGGATGATATCATAATCCCATAACCCCAGCTACTTTGGAGGCTGAGGCAGGAGGGTCACTAGTTCAAGGCCTGATTCAGCTACAGAGCTAAAGTCATGGTCAGTTGCTCAACTTAAAGAAATAGTATTTCAAAAGTAAAAATAATAAAGAACTAGGGATAGAGCTTAGCGG